TTACTACAATATGAAAATAGTATTATCTGTTCATGAGAATCAATTGTTCAACGGGTTGGAAAAGTGGGAGGGTTACAGCAAAGTCAACAGAGGCTGGCGGAACTAACCGTTTGATCTCCCAAGGAAGCAGAGCAACAGGGTAAGAACACTACAGAACAGTTCTGATAGGTTTTCCACATCTTACGCACAGTTCTTACCCTCCTCATTTATAAAGGAGGATATCTTTAATCTGTCCATCAGACGGTTATCAGCATCATCCTTGTTGTCAATATTTGGAACAGGAAATTAGAGAACAATAGAAAACCATCCTTAAATACATACATGAATAGATGTAAAATCACACAAATCATCAATTCACAGATTTACAACAAGTTCCAAGGAAATCATACAACAAATCTTTGTTTAAATTGTTTGCTTCTTTTCATGTGCAAACTACAAATGGAAGATTCTTTACTCATCACATGACAAGTTCTGTATTAAGTCCTTTGCCTTGTGCGAACTACAGGGAGAATGTTCAAGAAGCAATCAGAGATTAAAGTGACGTCTATACAGCTTGCTTTTCTTTTCTTGACCTAATGTATGACTAATCATTTTTCCACAGGGAAGCTTCTGAATTGTGTGGCCGCCCGCTTTGCATAAACCCTGCATCCCTTTAACAAGGCTCATTCACAATAGATCCCATTAGAAAGATGTAATTCAGATCAACTTTAAAATAACTGCAGGAAGACAAAGTCATTGTGGAGGTCACAGCAGAGTATGGTGTGTTGACACACAGCACACCTTCAGTGAGGTCTGGTGAGCGATTGAATAATACAGAGCAAGACTAAGCGCAGCTGGAGGTCATTGTTTCAGAAATACCTGGTAAAGATAGATTACTGGAAGAAGCACTGATGAACCATTTACTCATACAAAACTGAGATCCACAGTCAAGATCTCACTCAGATGCACGTACACACAAATCTGTGTACACCATGAACACACAGAAATGTAGAAAAATATAGATCAACACATCAGTACGAAGTAGGCAGGGAAAAAAATCCCAGAATCAATTACGTATTTAGAGACAAACTATTTAACTGCAAAATGAATATGAATGGATGTTACATTGCTTTGGAAGACCAAACTATACACAGCTTAACCAAAGGCATTCTTGGTTTTAAGATTTCAGATTTCTAGCATTTCTTAACAAATACATTTGGAAAAAGGGCTACTGGCAGTTTTCGACCAAAATGTGTTGGGGGAAATTATGCCTTTACAGCAAAACACTAATGGCATAAAATGATTCAGGTTGAGCCTACCTCTTCAAGGAATACCTGGAATAGTATAAAGTAATCCTTCTACCCCCCCCCCCCCCCCCCCCCATTAAAAAAAAGAAGGAAAAAATAGTGGTTGTCCCACTGGCTATCATAAATTGAATGCACCAATTTGTAAGTCGCTCTGGATAAGAGAGTCTGCTAAATGATGTAAATGTATTATGAAAGCCATAATCTCAAGTACAAAAGTTCAAGATTTAAATACACATATTGTTGTTCTGTTGTTTTTTACAGCAGCAACACCCACCCATGAGTTAGGTTTTGTCTAACCAATCTCAGATCACCCTCATCAAACTGAACCCTTTGGTATGTCTTGAGGATGGGGACGAACTAGGTCTTACTGCACCCAAATCAAATGAAACAACCATCTATAGGGGTCAAATAATCAGAAAATAGTGTGTGTGAACACCTAGAGATCATCAATATAATCTATATCCAAATGTCATACATAGCAGCACCTTAATAGATCATAATTTGCAATAATGATCAGTAAATGTAAAATGTGTGAAAAGGAACCAAGGCATAGTCTGATAGACAGGAACTCAGTGGCGACTGACAACCCTCCGTATTAAATTAAAGTTGGATTTAAGGACCAAGGCTGAGAACTATAACCAATATGCAGGAAGAGTGTGATTCACAGTGTACTCAATGATAAAGCTTTGTTATTGTTTTTACAGATCAAATCAATATTTCTAAAAGAACAATGCATAGTAGTGTAGTAAAAGAGATTCAAACCTATAGAGGCAGATAGGAGCACAGAGCAGACACTGGAGGGTTAAAGAAGGGATAAGGCTTCACGTCAGAAGATAAGAGTATGAGGGGCATCATTTTAAGTCTGCTACAAAGGATTGCCTCTTTCTGTTATCCTGAGCATGGTATAACATGGTATACAGCTGGGATCTCCAACCCTGTTCCTGGAGAGCTACCGTCCGGTAGGTTTTCGCTACAACCCTAATCTAGCGCACCTGATTCTAATAATTATCTGGTAAAAAAACTGAATCAGGTTAGTTACAACTGGGGTTGGAGCGAAAACCTACAGGAGGGTAGCTCTCCAGGAACATGGTTGGAGAGCCCTGATATACAGAAACATGGTATAGCTGAAAGCAGCTTGAGGAAATAAACGGATCAGGAAGAACTAATGAACTGAAGACCAGGATGGATGAATGGATGGATAGATAAAGATAGATGAGCAGATAAACAGGCAGACAGACAAGGCAGATAAAGGCATGGATACTATCTAGACTAGGATAGTTGAACTTTGAAACATGGATACTATCTAAAGACTAGGATAGTTTAACTTTGAAACATGGATACTATCTAAAGACTAGGATAGTTGAACTTTGAAACATGGATACTATCTAAAGACTAGGATAGTTGAACTTTGAAACATGGATACTATCTAAAGACTAGGATAGTTGAACTTTGAAACATGGATACTATCTAAAGACTAGGATAGTTGAACTTTGAAACATGGATACTATCTAAAGACTAGGATAGTTGAACTTTGAAACATGGATACTATCTAAAGACTAGGATAGTTGAACTTTGAAACATGGATACTATCTAAAGATTAGGATAGTTGAACTTTGAAACATGGATACTATCTAAAGACTAGGATAGTTGAACTTTGAAACATGGATACTATCTAAAGACTAGGATAGTTGAACTTTGAAACATGGATACTATCTAAAGACTAGGATAGTTGAACTTTGTATTACATTTTCATACACAACCAAATAGTTTGGCTATGGACCTCAAAGTCCTCGGTTTGGCAATCACTGGATGTAATTCATTCAATATAAATCAATAAACTGGTAAAAAAAAGTATATATATATTTTTTTATCTAGGCCATGAATGAAATGGAGACAAGTTGACAAGGATTGTCTCTCTGCCGCCTTTCTGTCTCATCTTTCAAGTCTGATTTTCATTACTACTGTATGTTTCACAATTACAAGAAATGATCAAGAGTATTTTCTATATTGTCTCTGTTGTCTTCCTTCTCAGTAATTCATGTTACATTTTAACACATATGTATTGAATGTATATTTTTTAAAGTTGAATTTAAGCAGTAACAAACAATGTAAAATAAATGTCAAAACATATAAATACAACTAAATCCTCTGTAACGATAAACATATATCCACAAATGAGGAGGACACTCAAATAACATTTTGGTGCAGTTTTGTCTTAATTTAAGCACACACCAATGTACACTCTTAGAAAAAAAGGTGCTATCTGGAACCTTAAAGGGTTCTTCGGCTGTCCCCATAGGATAACCCTTTGAAGAACACTTTTTGGTTGCAGGTAGAACCCTCTTGGTTCCGGGTAGAACCCTTTTGGGTTCTATGTACCTAGAACCAAACGTTTTTTTAAACTGGAACCAAAAAGGGTTGGGGGGGGAGAGCCGAAGAACCATTTTGGAACCTTTTTTTCTAAGAGTGTAGGGTTCATCTTCTAATATCTTTCCAACAATTGTCTGTTGGAAAGACAACATGGATAGATCCATGACTAAGTCCCGTTCAATAACAGTCTGCAGAATCTGTTCAACGGCGTCTGTGTATCGTTGCTGTTGCTCTTGACCATCCTTCTATTGACACCAGCTCTGGTTTCATCCACAGTGTTGTAGGCTTCTGATTTCACCCCATTTCTCTAAGAATTGGCACGATTAAATCCGCTCACTCCTCCACCAGTCACACATTGCTCTATTGCACAACTCTCAAGAGAGTGAAAAAAAATAACATTGACATTTATGACCCAGTGAGGAAAAATAGAACTAAACCAACAATATGGTAAGATCAGCTGTCGTCTGGGACTGTGTCACTTCAGTTGAGAGGCAATAGTTTAAACGACCAAACATTTTGATGGGTAAAGTGCATTGGAATGACCTTTCTGGAGCTATGTATAGTGGCGTTATCATAGTTTAATGGTGGGGTGTCACTATAGTTGAATGGTGGGGTGTCACTATAGTTGAATGGTGGGGTGTCACTATAGTTGTTTCTGTTCTGGTTCTGCATGCGTTATTGATTTTGTAAATGGCCTTGTGTTAGACCAGGACTAACAGATGGCCTTGTGTTAGACCAGGACTAACAGATGGCCTTGTGTTAGACCAGGACTCATTGCACTTCCTTAACATCTGTAATGCTACAGTATATATCACAAGCATCAATTGAGCCATCTGATTACAGTGGATCCTGGGAGATCATATTTACATTTAAACATTTTAGTCATTTAGCAGACGCTCTTATCCAGAGCGACTTACATGGGCAATTAGGGTTAAGTGCCTTGATCAAGGGCACATCGGCATATTTTTCACAGAGTCGGCTCTGGGATTCTAATCGGCGAACTTTTGGTTACTGGCCCAACGCTCTTAACCGTTAGGCTATCTGCCCCCCTATCTGCCAGATATCTAAGCATTATATAAAAATTGGCAAAATTACATATGGTATTGGATGAGGATCGGGTTGGCCAGAAATGAGCCTATTTATAAAATAACCAATCAAATAATTTCTCCCATAATCTATAAAAGTGCACTATTTCAATCATCAATTCATCATCTATGCCAATCTGTCAATCAGCGTTTCCCTCTTCATCATTCTACCTTTAATTTCTCCTACACAAAACTATGGCTGGCCCAATGCGGGTTTCCTCCAGCCCTCCATTCTGTCCCTCTAATCCGTCTCCCACTCTCAGACCTGGGTCTCCAGGCCGCTGAGTTTGGGGGTCAGGATGCGAGGAGTGACCCCGGAGTTGAGGTCCCTCTCAAACTCCAGTAGCTGACCCATGAAGTTGAGGTTGGGAGACACCACAGGACGACGGCCCCGCACGTACTTGTAGGCATCAGTCATGGTCATGAGGGTGTGCTTCATCAGGTAGGCGATGACGATGGTTGCCGAGCGGGACACGCCCGCTTGACAGTGCACCAACACTCCTCGCCCACTCTGGTGAGCCTCCTCTGTGGATAAAAAGAGGTTGCTATCAGATGCCCGTCAAGGATGATCGCTGGAATTCATCTACTACACAGCTTTTTCTGGATCTGACTCTCCAGTTCTCCCATCTTCCCTTTGATCCATTTATAGCTCCCTAACTGACTTTCCAGTTCTCCCATCTTCCCTTTTGATCCATTTATAGCTCCCCAACTGTCTCTCCAGTCAAAAACGTTGAAATAGGAGATTGAGATCAGAGGAAAAACGTAACATATAAATCATCATGATCCTTACCTTATCTCACTGCTAAAATACTTCAAGCTCAGACAGAGAAAAAGACTGAAAGACAGGAACGGGGATAGAGAGTGCAGTAGAACATGAAGGTAAATACTGTTCAACTCACCAATGAACTCAAACACCTCTTCAAAGTACTGACGCAGGTTCTGCTTGCTATTGTCGGTAGCCGGCAGCCGTTTGTAGCGCACCAGGCAGGAGCCGAGGTGGTAGAGGGGCAGGTGTGTGGTGACGTTGACCACGTAGCCGATGTTGAGACGCATCAGTAGGTCCAGGTCCTGGGCGTCCCTCTCGTTGCCCAGGAAGAGGAAGGGCAGGATGGGGCTGACCACCGCGTTCTCCACGTCAGGGGTCATCCCACTCTCATCTGACAGGGAGGCCGGGAGCGAGGAGGAGAGCGGCAGAGTGAGGTGCACTGGGAGAGCAGATACAGTGAGAGATTGCTGTTAGAAAATACAATTTCATTTGATTTGGATCACTGGCTGACATGCATTCACCCTGAAGCATACAAAAATAGATCAAGCATTGGAGACAGAAAGCGTTATGAAGAGATGTGTGAATGAAGGAGAGGCAATGAAAGTGTACAATTAATCTAATTTATAGTGCTTGTTTGAGCATGAGTATCATTGCTGTTCACTTTACACACGCAGAGCAAAGAAGTACGCAGCTCTGAGGAACTGCTAAAATACTTATATAATTTCATACATATTCTCCTTTCAGGAAGAGGGAAAGGTACAGACATGAAAAGATGTCTGACACTACATTCTTCATTCTATACTGTATGTCATCAACACATCCTGAACTCTTAACGGAGTGGGAGGAGGCTTCAGTTATGTAACTAATAAGAATAGAGAACATATCATAGCTTTTTGGGTCTTCATCATTTAAATGAGAACAGCTTAATCTCCCACTGACAGGGTTCAGTGTCAGTGACCCCATTTCCCTTAGGAAAAAAGAACATAAACTCAGCTATTCTAATCTCCCCCTCTTCTCAGCACTCTTCTCCATTTCTCTCCTCTGTCTTTTTCTCTCTCCAGAGCCTAGGCTATAATTAACAGTCATTCTCCCCGGGTTCCTTTAAAATCCCCAACATGTTAGAATACCGTAACATATAAAGAGAGATAGGCATGGAAAGGCAGGGGATTTAAAAGAAAGAGAAGCAGGGAAAAGGTAGAAGAAAGAGACAGTAATGAGAATAAGAATAGGAGGAAAGAGATTTACAGAAACAAATGGTAATTGCTGCAGTCAGACATGAAAGCTGGTTTCTCCATTGGGGATTTTTTTTTTACTGTAACTATCTAAGTGTCCATAACTTTCTGTCAAAAATGTACAACAGTCCAAAACCAGCAGAAGTACACTATATGTACAAAAGTATGTGGACACCCCTTCAAATTAGTGTATTCGGCTATTTCAGCCACACCCATTGCTGACAGGTGTATAAAATCGAGCACACAGCCATGCAATCTCCATAAACAAACATTGGCAGTAGAATGGCCTTACTGACGAGCTCAGTGACTTCCAACGTGGCACCGTCATAGGATGCCACCTTTCCAACAAGTCAGTTCGTCAAATTTCTGCCCTGCTAGAGCTGCCCCGGTCAACTCTAAGTGCTGTTATTGTGAAGTGGAAACGTCTAGGAGCAACAACGGCTCAGCCGCGAAGTGGTAGGCCACACAAGCTCACAGAACGGGACCGGCGAGTGCTAAAGCGTGTAGCCCATAAAAATCGCCTGTCCTCGGTTGCAACACTCTCTACCGAGTTCCAAACTGCCTTTGGAAGCAACGTCTGCACCAAAACTGTTAATCGGAAGCTTCATAAAATGGGTTTCCATAGCAGAGCAGCTGCATACAAGCCTAAGATCACCATGCGCAATGCCAAGCATCGGCTGGAGTTGTGTAAAGCTCGCCGCCATTGGACTCTGGAGCAGTGGAAATGCGTTCTCTGGAGTGATGAATCACGCTTCACCATCTGGCAGTCCGACGGACAAATCTGGGTTTGGTGGATGCCCGAATGCATAGGACCAACTGTAAAGTTTGGTGGAGGAGCAGTAATGGTCTGGGGATGTTTTTCATGGTTCGGGCTAGGCCCCTTAGTTCCGGTGAGGGGTAATTTTAACTCTACAGCATACAATGATATTCTAGACGATTCTGTTTCAGGATGACAATGCCCCTGTGCACAAAGCGAGGTCCATACAGAAATGGTTTGTTGAGATCAATGTGGAAGAACTTGACTGGCCTGCACAGAGCCCTGACCTCAACTCTATCAAACACCTTTAGGATTAATTGGAATGGCGACTGCAAGCCAGGCCTAATCGCCCAACATTAGTGCCGATCTCACAAATGCTCTTGTGGCTGAATGGAAGCAAGTCCCCGCAGCAATGTTCCAACATCTAGTGGAAAGCCTTCCCAGAAGAGTGGAGGGTGTTATACCAGCAAAGGGGAGGACCAAATCATTCCATGATTTTGGAATGAGATGTTAGACGAGCAGGTGTCCACATACTTTTGGTCATTTAGTATAGACTAAAAGACTTAAACAAAAAAAGAGTGTTGGACATCCTTACCTCTGCCGTTCTCCTCGTCCTGCTCTCTGTTGAGTGAGTTTAGGACCAGGTGGAGGGACTGAGCGGAGGGGAGGGAATGCCGTCCCTCTGCATCTCTCTGTCTGGGTTTGGGTTTGAGGAGAGTGCTGGGAGCTGACGGTGCTGTTGAGAAGGAAGAAGGGGATTGGGGAGAGGGGGAGCGGGGGGAGGGGGTGCGAGGGTATGCCATATCGTCTTCCTGCCCCATGCCATCCACCATCCCTGTCTCCCCACCTTTGTTCCAGAGCCTCTTCAGGGAGTCCCGGCCCGGATCTCGCCCAGACCCAGACCCAGACCCAATGAAATCCAGGACGGCCATCTTGCCTTGCTGAAGCCGGCGGCGGCCAGCGTGGTCTGTTATCTGATTCCGGGTGAACTCCAACAGGTTCCTACAGTCCAGGATGACAGGGCTGGTTCCGTTGCTGCTGTTCTGGTTCTGACCGGCACATGTCTTCCCCACTCCCATCCCGGCACAGCTCTGGTGGTTCTGTTGGGTTTTAGACCTGGTCATCTTCTTCGACAGCTCCTCGGGCCAGATTGTGCGCACACTGTAATCATCATCATCAGCGGGGAATACTCCCATGGGGTGCCCTGCCCCTACACCCCTGCCCAATCCGGGGGGCTTGCCGCTACGGCGGGGGTTGAAGGTCACCACTATAGGGTCGCTGCTACAATAACTGCAGGTAGAGCTGCCACCCTGACTGGCTTTGGGGTTGCAGCCACTCACACAACTCTGTAAGGCTCGCAGCGGGGCTGAGGAGGATAGTGGGGTACAGGGCAGGCATCCCCCCACCAGTTTTTTGCGGAATGCAGCAGGACTCTCAAAGGCGCCAGCCTCCCTGGAGCAGGAGGCACACCGCAGGGGTCTGAGCAAGCCCGTCCGGCAGTCCGACACAGTGCTGTTGGAGGATGAGGTGTTGGTGGTGGAGGCTGTGGACAAACATCCCCCCAGAGTTCTTAAACCCATTGCTGAGCCCCCTCTATGGTTCACCCCTCCAACCCCGTGGCCGTGGGCGCAGGAAAAAGAGGACAATGGACTCCCCCCACCCCCCTGGCAGCCAGCAGAACGTCCCCTGGCCCCCCTGCAGCGGACCAGCTTCCAGCAGCCACAGCTGAAGGGATGGGAGAAGTCGATGGTACAGGTGTGGTCTGGGCTGGGGAAACCTCCACGGGAGGAACAGGGGGAGAAGGGTAGGCCGTGGAGGATCTGAGGGCGATGGTCCCTGCCGCGGGATGGACGGGGCTGGTTGAGGGGTTGCTGGAACGAGGTAGAAGCACAGGGTTGGTGGGAGGAAGGGGAAGCAGGGTAATGGGAGTTTAGGACGGAGGCATGGGGCACAGGGACAGAGTTGTGGTGGTGGGGCAGGCTGTGGGGGTTGGGGTTTTGATGGACAGGTCCCAGTTTGGAATTCTCTTTGTTACCCACGCAGGGCACTTCCCGGGCACCTCTGGGGGGGAAGCTGGCAGAGCAGACTTTGGAGGACGCGTCCTGCGCCTTCTCTCTTCTGGACTTGGACTGCTGTCTCTTGGCTGGGACAAACTCTAGAACCCCTCCTGGGGACACAGCCAGATGATTCTGATGGTGACTGCCTCGTGAGGCCTTGATCTGGTTCTGTGGGTGGTTTTGGAGTTGCTGCACTGCTCCACCAGGCTTCCCTGATGTTCCCCCAGCTTTTCTCTCCCCGTATCCTGGATCCAAGCACAACGAGACCCTTTTCTTGCCAACCTTCACACTCCCACTGCGACCTAAAGTGTTGTTGTGCCCTCCTCCTCCTTTTATTCCTTTGTTCACGGATAACTTGATGTCGATGGTGTGTGTGTGTTGGTGGGGTCTAGGGCCAAGAGTCACGGTCCCGTTGCTGTGACAGTGGCTAGGGGTGTGTCTGACACCCTCTGAGACAATGGCCTTGTCGCCCTTGGTTTTCTGCAGACGGGATGATGATCTGCTCTTGCATTCCAAAGACAGTGAGTTCGGGGATGTAGGATTAGGGTGGGACTGAGGAGGGTGGGGATGAGAAGGGCGGGAGAGAGGTTTGTTGCTGAGGGCTGTTATATGGGAGTGAGGCTGTGGTGTGGTCTGTGGGGTGGACCCACGTAGGGCCAAGTTTTTAGGGCGCTGAATAACCACTATGCGCTCGCCAAGAGGGAGTGGAGGCATCTGGGTCTACACAAAGCTGTGTGTGTGAGAGAGAGAGGGGAGAAAGAAACAGATAAATAATGTTAAGATTGTACTCAGATAAAATCTAAAATTAGTCACTTTTGGTATCACAGTGTTGGGGAGTAGTAAACTACATGTAATTCAACTAGTAATTTAACTACATTTTGCGGTAGCTTGGTGGTAGTTTAACTAAATTCAGTAGTTAATTACTTTTTTTTGCCATGTAGCTAACTACTGGAACTACACACTACTTTTTTGGCTAAAATAAAATAAAATATGGGTGAAGTAGGCAAGAATGTCCTTTCTTTTTCAACATCAGACCTGCCTAGTTCTCACTTGAAACATAGTTTTTGTGTTTAATAGGCAAAATTACACATTCTGTTAACATATTAGTGATCTGTTCTTGCAATTTGTAGTCTATGACATTTCAGATTTAGATATGATAATTTATCACAAAGTAGTTTGGATGTAGTGAACTACTTTTTCTAAGTAACTTTAATTAAGTAAACTTTCTTAAGGGTAGCTTTAGTGTAGCTTAACTTCTCCCAGTGTGAAGGAATTGGTAGCTTGGCAAACGATATTTTCAGAGTAGCTTCCCCAACACTGTGGTATCATCATCAACATCATCACATTTTTTGAATTCGAAGCCATATTTACATCACATCGGTCCTACACTAGAATAATGACCAGTGAAATAACTAAGCTATGTAACTACCTTGCAACAGACTAGGTATGTACACTTTTGCTGATACTTTTTGGTATTATCTTGAGAAAAAACCCCCACTATGAAACATTCTGTGTATACATGCCTAGTACACAAGATATTTACATGTGTTATTTAAGCAATAATGCCCGAGGGGGTGTGGTATATGGCCAATATACGACGGCTAAGGGCTGTTCTTAGGATACAGCCCTTAGCCGTGGTATATTGGCCATATATAACAAACGCCCGAGGTGCCTTATTACTATTATAAACTGGTTCCCAACGTAATTAGAGCAGTAAAAATAACTGTTTAGTCATACCCGTGGTATACGCTCTGATATACCACGGCTGTCAGCCAAGCAGCATTCAGGGCTGGAACCACCCAGTTTATAACCCCTTATAGATCACGCATAATAAAGCTTATTAATGTAAATTGTTGCAGAGTTCGAATTCAAGATGAACACATACAAATGACTGTTACTTGACTACTGCTGCCGACCACCGTGATGAACGCCCAGAAGAATATGTGAAGCATATTTCTGTTAGTCATCCGTTAGATTGGAAAGAATATACACCAAAAACACACAGGAATGAAATCAAAACCAAAAGACCAAAATACAGCCTTTATGATTTTGCCAAAACATGGCAGACACCACTGTTTTAAGAACATTTTGGTGAAATTGAAGTTAGGTCAAGAGAATGAACCAAATGTCTCCCTGTTAGAGAAGGCCCTTTGCCATAGCACAGCAAACTAGAGAGCCGGCTATAACCGCCAGAGGCACTGACTGGCCATCGATGTACGTAACCTATAAATAAGCACTTCGTCATTAAATACTTGAATAAAGACTGGAGGAGAGAGGGAATTCTGGGCAAAGCTTTACATATTGTATTATTTTCATTATCAATTTATTCTACCCTTAAAAATTTTTTGGGGTAAATTGATGCCTAATTCTCATTTGTAGTAAAGACTTTGCTTTTGTCATCTACTAAGCACTACTTACTATGACAAAACCCATTAATTAGCTTTTTTGCATTAAAGAAGATTCTCTGGGACAGGGCCATGGAGAGAGAGAGAGAAAGAGAGCGAGAGAGAGAGAGAGAGAGAGAGAGAGAGAGAGAGAGGAGAGAGAGAGAGAGAGAGAGAGAGAGAGAGAGAGGAGAGAAAAAATACAGAGAGAGAGGTTGAGAGAGAAATAGAGAGTTGGGAGGACAGCGATATAAAGAGACAGTGTAGACCACAGACTAGAGGGGAGGAAGAAACATGTCAAAAAGGCACTGAGGATGTATTCACACCCACGCAACACGCACACCAACCCATAGACAAAGCACACCAACCCATAGACAAAGCACACCAACCCATAGACAAAGCACACCAACCCATAGACAAAGCACACCAACCCATAGACAAAGCACACCAACCCATAGACAAAGCACACCAACCCATAGACAAAGCACACCAACCCATAGACAAAGCACACCAACCCATAGACAAAGCACACCAACCCATAGACAAAGCACACCAACCCATAGACAAAGCACGCAAACCCATAGACAAAGCACACCAACCCATAGACAAAGCACGCAAACCCATAGACAAAGCACACCAACCCATAGACAAAGCACGCACAGAGCTTGGTGATGGTTTCCTCATCTTTTTTCCTTTTTCAGCCTTGCCTTTGTGTAGCCTGTGGTGGAGGGGGGTGGGGGTTACATTGACCCAGTTTTGTCATTGTGGAAGTCAACATCACTCTGATCACACGTTGTAAACACCTCATCAGCACATACAGTGGGTTCCGAAATTATATTCACCCTTGATAAAGATGAGCAGAGTGTTTAAAATAAATAATTCAAATATACTAATACAATTGCTCAGAGAAACAGATTTTGTTTAACATGTAATACTTTTTTTCCTCAAAAAGGTAGGGGTCAAAATTATTGACCCCCCTGTTTTCAATACCTCACCTTGCGAGGATAACGGCACTGAGACTTTTTCTTAAATGTTTTATGAGTTGGAGAACACATTGGGAAGGATCGTAGACCATTCCTCCATACAGAATCCTTCCAGATCCTTGATATCCTTCATCTGCGCTTAAGGACTGCCCTCTTCAATTCAAACCACAGGTTTTCAATGGGTTTCATGTTTGGAGACTGAGATGGCCATTGCAAAACGTTGATTTTGTGACCAATCATGATGCTGTCATCTAACAAATGTAAATGCCTGCCCACAGGGCACACACTGGTTGAATCAACCTTTTTTTTAACGTCATTTCAATGAAATTACGTTCAACCAATGTGGAATAGATGTTGAATTGACGTCTGTGCCCAGTGGGTGGGGGCTCATTTATCAACCGTTCGTAAATGTCTTACTAAATTCTGACGTACGTGATTCTAGGATTTGCGTGCGCCACAAATTATTGGGATTTATCAAACTGTCACATGGAACATATATGCATGTTTTCATTGATAAATCAGAGCCATATTATATTTGTGCGGTCGTGAATGAGCGCTAAAACCCCACCTGGAAAACACCCCCCATTCATCTTTTATGGTAACAAAAAAAAACTAATTTGCTGTATGATTTGGAGATGTTGGAACTGGGCCATGATAGTTCCTAAAAGAAAGAACAATGGTAAGTTTTATCACATTTCTGTAGATGTGTGGGCAGAACTTTGCAGTGACTTTTCCAAACTAAAAATGCATGCCGCCTAGTCAGTGACAAACACTGGCCGTGCATTGTGAAAGATTGATTGTCCTTTCGAACTATTTAAAAGTAAATGCTACAGTCCACACTTCTATGCAAAAGACAAACTGATGTTCAATATTTTGTTTAGCAATACATGATTGTGCTTCTATCTCCTTCCTTGGTATTAGCTCTGAAATGAAATAGGCTAGGCTATGATGTCGCGCTCTATCGCACAGCAATACTGTAGCCTACCCATACTGTCAAAGCTACCGGTCTACTTACTTTTGAGCATGCTTGGCTATTGAATGAGCGATTGATAAATGGTAGCCTACTATTTGTTGTGTAGCCTGAATAATTTAAACTAGTTATGTCAGAAAAGGAGAGACATGTCCCACTGGGCGAAAACTGGTTGAATCAATGCTGTTTCCACGTCATTTCAACGTCAATTCAATGTGATGACGTGGAATCAATGTGGAAAACTGATTGGGATTGCAAAAAGTCATCAACATAAGGGAATTTCGTATTTTTTTCACCTAACTTTTAACCTAAATCCAATGATATGGTAAAATGTTATGTTGATTTCACATTGAATTCACGTTAGTTGACAACTCAACCAAATGAGTTGAACTGACGTCTGTGCCCAGTGGGGTCCTGCAATATGATTATGATTTAGGCTTATAATAAAAAGTAAAATAAACATATTAGACGACATGCTGCTATGCGATCCCCTTACCAACGGCAAATGCATCTGTTTTATCATTAGGCCTACGTTTTAATGTTTTTATTAGCCTACCATTATTATAATTCCTGTGCATCAAACACCTCCCATTTCCCCAAACAAACAATAAGCCTATTTGCTTGCAATACTGTGGATCAACCTTCTAGAAGTTGTGTGCATGCATAGTTTTAGATTTGCGTGGAGATACGCACACTTTCCCGTCAAGTTCGAAATTGATAAATACCAACCTTTGCGGAAAAACTGGTGCACGCAAGTTTACAGTCTTTTTTTGTGAGCACGCACCTTTGATGAATGAGGTCCCTGGAGTTTGCTAAACAGCATTGGCACCGGTGCTTTGGTCAGATTACATGAAAATAGAGCTCTTTGGCCACGCACACACCAGTGGTGGGTTTGGCGTCTAAATGAGAATGCATGAGCAGAAAATAACCCCATGCACACTGTAAAATATAGTGGTGGATCTTTGATGTTATGGGGCTAATTGCTTCCACTTGTCCTGGGGCCCTTGTTAAGGTCAAAGCATTATGAACTTTACCCAGTATCAGGATAATTTTGCCAAAAACCTGGTTGCCTCTGCCATGAGGCTGAAACTTGGCCGCAAGTGGATCTTACAGCAAAACAATAACCCCAAGCACGCATCAAAATCCATAAAGAAATGGTTAATTGACCACAAAATCAACATTTTGCAATAGCCATTTCAGCCTCCGGACTTGAAAACCATTTAAACCCTGTGGTTAGAATTAAAGAGGGCAGTCCATAAGCGCAGGTGAAGAAGGATATCAAGGATCTGGATGGATTCCGTATGGAGGAATGGTCTAAAATCCCTTCAAATGTGTTCTCCAACACATACAACTTTTTAGAAAAAGGCTCAGTGCCGTTATCCT